CATTTTGCAGCAGTTGCTCGACACATTGCTTGAGAACAAACCTGCAACTTCAGACTGTGTGTTCCTATGTTGTACATGAGAGACAGGAAATCCATAATCCTTATTAGGAGACTTTTGACGCCACATCCAGCTGAAACGTTTTTATCTCCTATATACTGGAAGTGAGACGAGAGGCTGGACTCTTTGAGTTACACTTTCACATTCAGAGTCGGACTCCTAAAAACAAGGAAATAAAAGAAACTACTATTATTTTTTCCCCCTTCATGATGGACATTAATATGAGCACAAAATGTAAATGAACAATTTGTGTCTGAAAATTACTCTGGAGACAGTAGGTCAAGAGGTTAAACGATAACACATCTGTATAAAAGCTTTCATAATGTGACGATTGGATCTGCAGAGCACAGAGAATCCTTTTGCTACATGAAAGGTAACAAGGACGTGGGCAGTGTGTGGTAATTTTATTCACTCCCAAGTCTGAAGCCTGGACGTGAAAAGAGTTGTTTTTTTCTTTTTTTTCCCCCCATTAAGCAAAGAGAAAAGTCTACTAAAATACTACCAAAGTAGCTAAAGTTCAGGATGGTTCGAGATGTTTTAATTCTTCTTGTTCCGCCCCGAACTTTTGCACCTCTGATAAACCATGCGACGTCAGTAAGTTATTCACTGAATACATCAGATAGCGCCTTGATTTCCACTGGAGATGCAGGCCTTTGATAACCGCTTCACAATCCAGTTGAGCAAGTAGAGAATGTTTTTAACACAATTTTCTCTCTCTTTGCTCATTTTCGTCTTTCCGTGTAGGAACCACAGCTCTTCACACTCACGCTTGACTGTATGCTGTCAAAACCAAATCAAATCCAGAAACTCCAGAAAAAAATATTGGGATTCAGTTTGTAACGTGGCTGTCTTGCAATCATAAGATTGTAGGTTGGATTACAGCCGCCTCCTGTTGCATGTCGATGTGCCTCAGGGCAACAGTTGCCTATTGATTTGTAGGCGACTCGTTGTACACGTATGTGTGTGTGTGTTTGTGGAAATACAATATTGTACGTTAAGTTATATATAAATCAGATTTTCTTCCAAAGAGAACGTCCAAGCCTGGCTAGAATCTCCTAAACGGAGAGATGGCTGGGCATCCATCCCAAAAGGTGAAGAACACAATACCCATAATGCAACATTGGGGTCGGCAGTGTCGTATTCTTTAGTTAATTTTCTTCAGATGAAGCCTTGTATCTTCACACCAACTAACCCAAAGCTGTTAGCTGTGTGCTAGAAAGCAAAAGGTGAAGAGATTGTAGATTTTATTTTCAAGTTAGTAAAAGCTAGTTAGTAACGGTTTACGTCAGGACTGATGGGTATATTTAGCTTCGACAATGAGCGGAGCTTTAAGTCATTAGACCTCGTGACCCGGTCTGGACAGAGTCCCTCCTGTTTTCTCCCTCTCTGGTGTTACTGAGCAGCTCTGCCATTGATAAAGAAACCAGGTTGCTTTCTGAATGCCTTCCACATTAAGTCATCCATCAACATCTAGTAATCTCCCATACAAACGTCTGCAGCTGAGCCGTACATTAACCAGGAGCCGCTAACGCCGGAAAGAATCACATGTAGCACTTTGAGCATTTCTGCGACGAGATGTAGGAAAAAAAAAGAAGCTTAATTTGAAATAGATTTGATTTTCATTCAAACCTGGTCAGCTGACTTTTAGCTTTATTCGCTCAGTGGGGGTTCATGGTATTGATCTGACATGAAGTAAATAAAGGGGGCAGCAGGGATTTTAAGTAGCCATTATTACACCGCAAATGTTCACATTTCAGGTATGTAGTATATTTTTCAACAATTTTGTTGTTTTTAATGACTAAATTAATGATTCGAATATGAAAATATATTCTACAGTGATGTTAAGTAGTGTTTCCCCCATCCTCATTTTCTATTTTTTTTATGTATATGTGTCACACTTCAGTGTTTCTGAACATCAAACATATTTAAATATTACCCAGTCAACAAAATACAGTTTTTAAATAAGTATTATTAATGGATTAAAAAAAAAAAAAAATCCAAACCTACTGTGCAAGATCCTGTGTGAAAAAGTAATTGACCCTAATACATTTGATCCAGACCATAATGCATTCCCATTTCTGTTCAGTTTTATTTTATAATCTAAAATCCAGCTTGTGATGTTCTTCCATAATCTGGCTGTAAAGCAGATTTTATGGCATATTTGGTTTATTAAAAAAAATAAAAAAATAAAAAAAATAAGGCAGAGTAAAATGTGCTAAAAATGATGAATTTGAAGAGTGATTTTGATTTCGAAGAGTGACAAAAACCTTGTCTGTCAAAAAAAATATTTAATATTTAACATAGATCTAATGCTCCATCCTTAAGTTTCCCACATTCTAACACACGGTCCATTAGTGTTGCAGCAGCGAACCCACCATGTTGTCTTACCTGTAGGGGCTTGAAAACTTGAAGACTGATGAGTGTTCACATGCTCTCTGTGTTTTACATGTACAGGTTTCAGGATCTGCTGCAGCGTTTCACTCCACCAACCTGGATTCTGTTATAATACGGTGTAGATTTTTTCCCCGTGACCAGCGGGGGCTGATCGGATTTTTCTGCTTGGTTGCGTTTGAGTTGCTCATCAGACTGTGAATGAGGCCCCGAGTAGAGGCTGCGTGTCGGGAACGTGGAGGAGGCTCTATGGGGAGAGAGGGTGGAAGAGCAAATTGCTTTTTAATTGATCGTCCTCCCCTTTAAAATCCACTCTCAGCACCTAGTAGTCTGCTTCTCTTTCTGCTTCCAGGCCTGTACGCGTGTTTCCTGTGTGTGAGAGGGCAGCCGATAGATGACCTGCACCCAGTGATGCCATCATCACATTTTCTACTCCTGACTCGTTGTAGGATTCCCATTACAACCACAGAATTAGAAACAGGAGATGTTTGTAAGGCTTTGTTTTCCAAAGAATGCAGTGAAATGCGAGCTTCCCAAACTGTTCCTCAGACAACAAAAGAGGCAAAAAAAACAAACAAAAACAAAAAAAAACACACCCAGATTTAAACACTACAGGCTTACTGTGTAACGTGATCGCCTTCTGAGCTCCATCTCCTTCTATCTGTTTTATCACATGCAACCCGAGCTCTAAAACCTGTGAAATATTAATCGGTCTGCTGCTGGCAGAGGCTGCCGGATGTGATTCCTGAGCTGCATTGATTTCTTAATAATGCGCCTCTTGGGACATTTGAAAGTAGGCTTGTTTTTGCGTGACTAAAGGTAGGCATGGAGATGTAGCAGTCCAGATGAGAGCTGGGTTATACCGAGGGAACCTGATGCTGACTGAGGAGGAGAAAGTTGAACGGGATCCCAAAGTACATTCGAGTGTTACTGCTTCGTTCAAACTTGGCAAAAATAATAAAAAAGGACACCAAAATTAATATTTGATGTAATATTCTGGTGAAAGAGCTGGACAAAAACTTGGACGACTTGTTGGACTTATTGGTGTGAACGCACCAAACGCGTTTCGTGCGTCGGGTTTGAGGGCCTTCGCGTTTCGAAGCATTGAGCGTTTTGAGCGTTTAGCACGTCCGATAAATAGGCCGGCAACAGAAAACGACACCCAGAGCGGTTCTGACACACCCTCGACACACCTCCACACAGTCTTTGGATGTAAACAGACACGTTTTTGACGCGTGTGACGCATTTGGTGTGAACGCACCGTTACTGTAGGAGTTGTAAACGCACCAGTGTGGCAAGTGGGGAAAATATGAAAAGCTGCTAATGTAGAAATGATCTAAAAGTGGTGACATTACCTATAAGGATCGGAGATTTATATAAATACCCTAGAGTGATCAATTAGGTTTTTTTTTTTCAAAGTGTACAAACGTATTCAGTTTACATTTAGTTAATATTCTAGAGTGCAACAATCAGGTGGAACAATAGCAGAGATGGTCGGGGCGCTTGAGGAGCTCAGAGTGCGGAGCGATAAGGGGGAGAGGCAGAGCTCCATCACCTGCTTATCTGCAGGGCATGCTTCGTCTCTGTCAGTCTGTCAGTCTGTCACCGTCTCGTTTATTTTTTTTCCCCTTTTACTCCGTGTGTGCAAGCCAAAGGTGCAGCAGCGGCCATCTTGCTCAGTGCAGCGGCACACCGAGACAGTCGGTGTTGATTGTAAATTATAAATCTGATAGGATGCGGTCGATGCAGTCAACCTCTGACATGCTGGCGCGTCGTCCTGACCACAGCAGGAGTCGATGTGTTGATGCCATGAGTAATGCAACCCGTCTGCGCTGCAGGGCCGGATGTTTGGCAGATTCAGTCTGCACAGTTAAAGTAAAAGACACTTTGAAACATTTCCTCCATGTCACGATCCAACGGCCTTTGGGATTATTTTTTCTCTGAATACTTTGTTTTTTCTTTTTAGGTCCAGTAATTTGAATAATTTCTGTATTTGTTGATATTTAGCTTTGTTTAATTAGTCTTTGCTTGTATTTGTAATTATCCTGCGCTCCTGCTGTCTCCCCAGCTCCATTGTCTGGAGCTGCTCCATTGGCTCGACTGCCATTCAATCTGTTGATTGCACTCAACTGGTTTTCATGTCACAATTAGACCTAAAAATATCAAAGCTCCCTGGTTTCTTTAGGTTTAGATTTCTGTTCGGATGTTTTCTTTTTCCTGTTTTTTTTCTCTCTTTTTTTTCTGTTATTAAATCCATCGACAGCCTTCATCATCGGCACTCCTCCTCCAATTGATTTCTCGTTTATCCTCAGTCTGTCAGAAATTAGACAAACTGAGACGTCTTCTCTCGTCCTACCGCAGATGTTTGAATATAGATGGAAACTGAAAACCTTTAATAGCTTTTTACCAAATAAAATATTAATTTCCCATTGCATGCATAAAGCACATACTTTATTCATTAGGACATCTGTTGTAGTTTTAACATTTATTCCTTTTGCTTGTTAAAACAAATAAGAAAATCAATGTTTTTAAAGATGCTTTTGTTTTTGCAGGACCAGCAGCTCAAAAAGGTCGTGACCCTGCTTCGGACGGATGTCAACCGGCTCTGAGATTTGCATGGGTCGTTCTCATCAACCAAAGGTAAGATCATCCTTTTGTTAAACGTCTCAAGTCATTGGTTTAGGCAGGTAAAATGACACTAAAAAATGAAAACATTCACAGGACTGAATGACTGATGACCTGCTTGGGTTCTGGCTGTATGAAACTGGGTTCTTATGGCTGTGACTCTGGGTCGGGTGGGAGACTTTTAGCTTCAGATACGAAATGTTGGGATTTTGTTTCATTAGTTACTTGTCATTCAATGATTTCATCAAGAAAAATTACTAAGATTGACAGTTTTGTTACTCTGACCTGTAAAAAAGTCACTTTTTCTTTCTTTAGTTTGTAATATCATCACTACTTCCTACTTATGTAAAGTTGTGAACTGAAAATAGTCCTCATTCATCATTTATCCATTCTTTATTAGTCTAAGGTGAGAAGTAGTGAGCCTGGTTAGCATTTCAGCAAACCACTGACAGAGCAAACCAAAAAGTTGTGTAACTGGAAATTCTGAGAAACCCAAATTAAATTTCCTATATTTCAGAAAACCTATTTGGATAATTAAACAGATCTGTAACATGCTCCAAAGCTTGAGGAGTCATTTTTGAAATGTAGATACATTTATAGAAAAATAACTACTGATTACTGATTTTTTTTTTTTTTGTTTAAAAAAAAAAAAAAACTACCACCAAAAAGAAGAAAGGCCAATCATATAAACTGTTCATTTAAAAGCTTGTTTAAAAAACTAAATTCAAAAAACACAAGAGTTGATGTTGGTTTTTTGGTCACAGATCATAAAATATAATACTTCATTCATGTACTTTTGTTTTTATGCTGTCGTGCTTCCATGCCTTCCCATGCAATTCCACTCTTTTCTAATCTCTTTTCACAGCTCGATCTGGGATTTCTCCCATTGACTTGGATTCCCTCCGATAGTTTCAACAGGGCCAATCAGAGAACAGAAGTAGCTGTTCAGACCTTTGTATAAAACAAAGGGTAGAACAAGGTTTTTTTTTTTTTTTTACCAGGCTACTTTTAACAAAAAATTCTTGCATTCTAATGTAAAATTTGATATTTTTGGGGGTGACTTTGGGGCTGCGATTTACAGCATCCTCCATAACTATTGGCCTCTCTGGTTAAGATATTCAGAAAGCCTAGAATTCTTCTTTTATTTATCGGGGCTGCTAATAAATGTGGTTTGTCATTTATGTGTCAATTTTCAGGAGTGAAAACTCAATTGATTACAGCAGGTAATCTGTCTTCTGACAGTAAGTGAGACTAAAACAACAGATTGCTGTGCATTAGACGGTCTCCTCTGTTACATCCTGTCCACACGTCTTGTCTTTATGTGAGCGCTGCGTTTCTAAAGCGCTTCTTTTGGTTCCCCTTCCTTTCACTGTTTTCCAAATTACGGATGTTCTTGTTTTAGGGAAGTGGGATAAAGAGTCTCTCCTACCTGACAAACAGTTCAGACTCTCATGCTGGTTGCCAGGGAGTCATACACTGAAGTTGCACCTATTTATAGACGTCAAATAAAATGTAAGGGGGGAAGAAAAAAGCTCAGAAGAATGGACAACCTTTTCTATCCCTTGACTCAATGTCTCTCTTTAGCCACTGATTTACTGAACTCCGACTAACAGTGGTTTGTTCTTCATTTTCTGCCAGGGTTAATCTCATTCCTGACAGTTAAAACAAATCATTCCCAAGATTTGGCACCAAGAGAAGACTCGACCGAACTCCAAACCGTGTCGGTTTTAGTTTGGTGCTTTGTGTTAAACAGAACTGAAGCCTCTGTGTTGGATTTTCTCGGAGGAGCAGTAGATCAGCGGCTCTGCATCCCGTCACCTCAAATCAGGATTTACATCCTGGCCTCTGATCAGACACACATTTTAAAACCTGACAAGATTTAAAGACTTGCAAAAATAAAAAATTGGCACAGACGGGTTGATGTGAAGCAGCACTAGCATCGGATATGAAGCTACTTTTAACTGGTTGGTCATTGGTACTGAATTAATGATTGGTTCATTCCTTCCTTTTCTCAACAGACTGCACCTCTCATCTGCACAACATTTTTGATTGTTTTGGCACCCCAAACTTCATGTTTGTCTCCTGAAAGCTACAAAATCCTTCTTTTTGTGGTTGCTTTAGACTGGAGCAAGTTGCCAACTGATGGCCAAGTGTTTCAGGCAGGTTTGGCCCTGATTTGACCTGCCAGGCTATGCTACAAAACAACTTATCTATCAGCAAAATACTAGAAACATATGCATTTATGAATTTATCGTTGAATATAGGCATAATCCCATTGTATCCTTAGTTGTTTTTTTTTCCTTTAATCAAAATGTCCTCAGCAATCCTCCTTAGTTTTTCATTCATGGTCTCTAGGTTTTAGATGAAGGAAAGTAAAAATAATAATTACCCACAAACATTGTTTTCCAGCAGAATTTGAGTGGATTGCAACAGAGCTGCTCAACACCCACATCCAAGCAGGCGAAGTTGCACCGCTGACTGCAGTGTGACGCACTCTGCAGCTCTTAACTGCGCAAAGATTCACAAGTGGTCATTATTTACTAGAAGCGGGGGAGATGACCCACTGTGTGTATGAGAAAGAAGTTGCTTTGAAATAAGGTTTTACTGTTTTTAAAAGTTTCTCTCTTCACCATCTCAATCTTAGCGATTAGCTGGATTAGCATTACAGCTGTAAACATGAGTTTTGTGTGTGTGTTTTTTTTTTTTTTAACTGGTGAAAATAGACCTTTAACTTAACTTTGAGTTTTCTAAAAGGCAGACGATGCGTCCAACTTGTTTCATGATAGACAGAGGATGGAAAGAATTAAGATTCAGACTTCCTGTTGTCGGTTTGGGGTCGATCTGTCATTTGACTAGTTCGACGAAACAACTCCTGGGCTGGTTGTAGAAATTGTTAGCTCCTTTTTACACCTATATATTTTTTTAATCAGCTCACTTGTCATTAAAAGAGTTGACTTCAACTCTTTAGAACACACTAATGTTGTTGTGGTCAGTGCAGCACGGAAATGCTTGGGTGTGGTGCTTTCACTGTACAAAAAAAAAAGATCAATAACTAGAAGATTTATGGAGCGTCTCCAGTAGAGCTGCTCAATATTTAAAAAAAAAATTAAGATGTGAAATTAATGAGTACAATAATGGATAAATCTATAATTTCCTCTCTGCTTATTTTGATCTACTTCCTCCTCTCTCTGTGACCTTTAGCATGTTGGATGCTCTCCTGTGTAAGGTGTATCTACTCATAAACATACAAAATGGTTTAACTTCTGATGTTTGATCGTAATAAGATTTTAAAGTTTTTTTCTTGCATATGCTGACTTTGACCTTTCTGTGTAACACTTAATAGGAGACCACATTTTTGCCTGCTCAGAATTCCTGTTTTAGGGCCATAAGCTTCAAATTGTGACACAGAGTAAAATGCGGTGCAGTGGGAGGTTAAGTGCGTCCACGTAGTGGGAGAACAGTTATCCGTCCGCAAGCCTTCCCTCTAATATCAAGGTCGGCTTGTTCTTAACTCTTTAGCTCTCCAAAATGTCATCGGTTTAATTAATTCTCTGAAGCCTCTCTTAGGAAAGACCCTTTTAATAGTAAGAGAATGCCTATTAATCTACTGGCAAGGGGCCTATTATGGTTGACGGTCACCGTGTGAGCGTACAGTGTGAGAACTAATTTGACCTCAAGGTCTGAGCCGGGGGATTTCAACTCGCTCGGGTTTCATGTAACTGAAAATGGGAAACGAAGAGGCCACCTTGCTCAGTGGGAGAATAATGTTTCTGTGCCGAACTTAAATGCTCAAGAGCGCTAAAACAATTTTTAACGTCAGGCTAAGATGATGACGTTAGAAAGTGGTATTACGAAGTGGAAAAGACAGAAATTGTGAGGGGGAAATATGTAACATGCGTGGAGGAAATGAAGTTACATTGTGAGCAAAGGAAGAATAACAAGCATTTTCAGTGGGAAATAATGCAAACATGTTGCTGTGAATTGGAGCACGTTGCGTTTGTGAAGTCCAAAGAACCTCCTCATGCTGGTTCAGAAAACCTGCAGAGAGCCGTTGATGGCATCACCTGCCCTGCAGCAACACCGAAGTCATCCCTGTGAAAACTGATTAGTAATGGCCGAAGGTACACAGCAGGCGGTCTCTGCTGTTCAACCACGCGAATAAAGGCATTTATAATGAAATTAAGTGTGAAAAATAAAAAGGTGCCACATCGGTGTCTAATATGAAGCCTAATCCGTCCCATTCAATCTGATTTCTTCAGACTGTTGTTCCCTTCGAGATCTATTCTCTTTTTAGCTCTTTTTTTTTTTTTGGTCACAATTAAATGTTTCAGATCATAACGTGAATAAATAAATAAAAAAAAAAATCCAAAATGCAGATTTTAAACGATTGTTTGATATTTAGATCAACAGGAAAGCACTGCCCGAACCGACGTGACTATGTGAAAATATGATAGCCTAGCTTGTTAAATCATGTTATGTACCTTAAGTTTTAATTCAGTTTTACCTGCCACATGCAGACGTGCAGCATCAACAGACCCTGTCTGAAAACAAGACGTAGTTTGAAAAATTAACGTGCCATACTCTGATACTCTGATCCAATGAAATTTTAAGAAAACATGAAATGTATGAATTGTTTTGACAAAGAAGAGTTGGGCCAAAATTCCTCTAAAGTGACATAAAAAGTTCATTTTGATAGCAATTATTGGCGCTAAGAATAGCCCAACTAGCTATTAGCTTTTGGGAGCAATTGTTGTTTTTTTTGTCTGTTATCAAAATTTATTTGATTTAAAACACTAAAATGTGAGGAAAAAGACTTATTTCCCTACTTATTTAGTGGCAGATCAGCTCTGCCATGTGACTCTTCTAAATCTAAATGATTGTGTCTGAAAACATGTTGGGACAACTTTCTCATAAGTTTTGAATGTACGGAGGGAGAGATTCTTGGCAGGAGTTCGCCATATATACAGACACGCTGCTATGATCCCAACGGTTTTTAGAGAAACCAGAGTCGGTCA